TGGGGCGTACCCCCTTTTGGAGCCAGCCTCTAGCGGCCAGTCGATGAATTGCAGTTTTAGTCACTTCCGTGTTGGTTTCACAAGAGAGACTGACTGGAAGGTTGCCGCTTGGTGTGTGACCGTGACATAAAAAATAAATTAATTAAAAATTAAATGTAGGTCAGTAATGGGCTTATGATGTCATAATGGAGTAGGCTCATATTTTAATCCTGCCCCACAAATCCCACTGTTTTGTTTCATGGACCTTTTTCACATTTCCGGGTTTCTCAGCAGCGGAAGTCATCATAGTTGGGTTAACTTGAAGAGCAGTGAATGGGAGAGTACCACGAATATATTTTTTTGCATTCCCATTTGTTCAAATAGCAAAAGAAAAACTCCACAATAGTGTTTTCACGACTTTCAAAATGAGGACAAAATAGAGAGAGATTGCACGGCAATCAGAAGAGAGAACAATGTCAAATTTACCATCACTCCCACAGCCTCTGTATTAGAAGAACCCTCACAGCAGTGTTTATTTATTTATTTATTTTTGTAATTTGATGCGAAGGTAATATAATACAAAGTATAGAAATAAATGAACATAATTTCTTAAAAAATAAAAATAAAATATAAAAAGCTTTGCAGGATTTACGATGCTGATGACCGTTAAACGCGTCATCACAGTCTTGTGAAAAGGGTCCATAGAATATTCATGTAGGGCTGGACTTTATTATTATCATCATTATTACATTTTTTCATTTTCGTTCTTAAAAATAACATGATCTATTCAACCAGTATTTTAATTAAATTTTACTTGTAAGTTCTGAAGAATTAAAATAATGGTTGGGTTATTATAGTTCACTAAAACTGAAACTAAAATGAAACCTTTAAAAAAAATTGTTACTTGAATAAAATAAATATTAACGGAAATAAAATAAAATATAAAAATGCCAAGGCAACACTTCTCATTTTAATTTAGTATAATAATATGATAATCATCAATTTAACTTGATGAACTGAAATAAATAAAAATTTAAACTGAAATAAAAATGTATTAATACTATAGACATATAAAAAAAAATGAATTGAAAATAAAAATGGAAAATATAAAATATAAAAATAAAAACTGGTCCAAAATATGAATAAAAACTATAATAGTATATCAATGCTACTAAAATAACACTGGGTTGAATACCTAATTTTGCTTTTAAAGAATTAAAAACATTTATATATTTAATTAATTATTTAGCTTTTTCCCCATTTTCGTTCTTCAAAACTGCCAAGTACAATATACAGTACAAATTGTCATGCTGTGTAACTGTCTGAATACAGCCTTTTGTTACAATGTAACTAGATTCTATTTTCAAATATTTAAAAGCATCCACACTGCTACATTTCAATTCAAAAATGGAACCTGCAGCAGATTCAAAAATGTAACAACACCAAGGTGCCACTCATTCCCAAACATTCTCTTTTTGTAATCCATTCAAAACGTCACAGGTTTGGAATGACATGAGGGTAAGTAAATAACAACAGAATTCACATTTCCAGGTTAACTAGTCCTGAAACAGGTAAACCCGCAGTGCATCACACAAAGAGACTCTGCTGTTCTTTGTTTCACTCACACGAGCTGCTGAATTTCTCCGTGTGGATCGATAGAGCCGGTTTTCCCTGCTTCTGTCATTCCCCTCTGTAAACACGTTTGTCCGCTGACCCTCACGGCCCGCAGGCGTCTGTCTCACCCAGGAACCCCCGGCCGCCCGCTCTATTCATCTCAGTAATTGTCTGTATGAATTATTTACCTGACTCGGAGGGTGAATATGAATCCATTACTCTCTGCTTCAATTATCAGAGCGGGCATTATGGGAAATGACAGGAGAAATGATTACAGGATTCATGAGCTGTAATATGCATGCGTCACCGGTCTATTAAAACACACAACATATTAAAGCGTCTTTGGTGTTTTCCATGTTTTCTACAAAACAAAGCCGGAAATCGAGGGGTTATGACGTCATTGGCAGGCGACACTATGGACACAGTCCGTGTCACTAGATAAAATTGCTTATTTCGCGGGATTTAAACATTCTTTGAAACATTTGGGATAAAGTACACAAGTCAGCAAAATATGTAACACTGTTCTAGTGGTTTCTGGATATTTTAATAAAAAAATCTTACATATTGTGCCTTTAAGATCAATTGACTTGACTTAAAATCAAACAATTCATTAGTCCCCCACCCAAATTTCAATGCAACTTAAAAGCATATGCAGAAAATTTAATAAACACTGACAAAATGAAACACTTCTGACGAGGATAAAAGGTTTGTTGTAGTGTATGACACATTTATAGCTACTTTGTTAATCTTTAGATGTATATACATGGTATATCATTTCATTCTGAAACAATAGACACAATCCCTCTAAAATCATAGGAGCACAATGTCTACATATCAGTAGACAAGCAGTTGAGTAAAAGTGCACATGGGTTTAGAAGGATCTGAAAAATATCATAGCATTCCATCAATACTGACTAATGACTCAAAAAAACGACAACATTATTGGAGATGATCCATCTGCGCCATTAGACACCACATTCACACACAATTACGTACACAAGCACCAACAAATGCACACTCTGTTTCTCTCTCTCGTACACTAAATGTAAAATAATCGGGCAGACAGAAATACAACGACAGCTTATACACACACTGAGCACAGTCTGTCTCCCAGGCTTCTTTAAAATATTGAAAATTTCCTGCACTGGTTTTGTGGCCCAGAACACCTTGGTCACATTGCACAGTGTCTTGAGATTCACCATCATCTCACACCGCCGAAAACAAACAAACAAAACAAAGCAGAGAGTGACAGCTCCTTAGAATACGCCACATTTTCACATCTCCTTAATGAGCAGCACAGGCATTATGGCATTCCATCAATACTGACTAATGACTTAAAAAAAAATGACAACATTATTGGAGACAATCCATCTGCGCCATCACACATCCACCACATTCACACACATTTATGTACACAAGCACCAACACATGCACAATCGGTTTCTCTCTCTCTCTCTCTCGTACACCAAATGTAAAATAATCGGGCAGACAGAAATACAACGAGAGCTTATACACACAGTGGCAGAACTGAGCACAGTCTCTCTCCCAGTCATCTTTAAAATATTGAAAATTTCCTGCACTGGTTTTGTGGCCCAGAACACCTTGGTCACATTGCACAGTGTCTTGAGATTCACCATCATCTCACACCGCCGAAAAAAAACAAACAAAACAAAGCAGAGAGTGACAGCTCCTCAGAATACGCCACATTTTCACATCTCCTTAATGAGCAGCGCAGGCATTTGTGTCTATTGTTCCTTGAAATGTTTTGTTTACTCTCCACACAAGAAATTCTCAAGGCGTGAGTATGACTCAAATGTGCCATGAATCGAATCCTTCAAGGCTGCTTCGCAGTCTAGTCAAAGAGAAAACCTGGGCCGGGTCCTAAAAAGGGCTCTATAGGCCTAATAGAAAGCTGACATATTTTTTCCATTCATGATCTCCATCTCCACTCCTGTTAAATAAATAGTAGAAAAATAATCCTTTCATCTTCATTGTTTCTTGAAAAAAAAAACATAAGGAGCTTTGTATCGTATGCACCTGCCAAATCCACTCCCTAATGACCTCTACAGAGGTCAAATGTTCGCCCCCCATGGTCAACAAGCACAAAACACCTCTGACCGCCTCAGCAGATGCCCAGGGAGAGTTGGGAGTTAAGGTTCTCTCCTCGTTTTTGCAGGATTCAGGGCCTGAATGGTGGTGGATGAAGTTAGCAGTGGCATCAAAGGCAGGGTTGGCGGATGGTTTGGGGTCACAGGTGGACAGGATCAGCACTCGGCATCCACACTGTGCACGGTGACGGCAGCCTGGAGATGATGCATGTGCAAGTGCAGGGGGTGGTGCGTGTGGGGGTGCCGATAGGGGTGGAACTTGTGGCTGAGAAGAGCAGCTGTCTGTGGAGGTGTGTCCAGGTCAAGGTCCTCGTCGTGATTGCCCACATCAACGCCTGCAGAGAGAGGATCGTTGTTGCAGGGCGGGTTCTCGCTGTCCTCCTGAGGGCTCATGGTGCTGTAACCTACATATAAATAGACAAGAAATCACAATCAATATTTTCGGAAGATACAGTATAAAATTGACTTTGAATCTAAAATGTTCTACAAGTGTAGCTAACAGCTTTTTGTATCTCTAAAACAATGGCTGAAAGGAAATTTTCAACTGAGAATGGACATTTAAACCTAGTTATGTCTCTGTGTCATTTTGTAGATACTGCTGATGGAAACTTGTTAAAAACATGATAATTTAAACTAATCATTTTAATGAATCCCAATCCATTCTAATCTCACACTCCTCACATAAAACATATTAATCTCATTTTGTACTGATCTGACAGACTCATGATAGCGTAACGTGACATGACACCAAGTAATAAGATATATATATATATTCATTTAACTGATCAAAATACAATAAAAACAATAATATTGTGAAATGTTATGACAATTTAATATAACTTTCTATTTTAACACAATTTAAAATGTACTTTATTACTGTGATGGCAAAGCAGAATTTTCTGCAGCCATTAATCCAGTCTTCAGTGTCAAATAATCCTTCAAAAACCATTCTAATATGCTGATTTAGTACTCAAGAAATATTTTTATATCACAGGTGAAAAACAAGTCATCAAAATTCATAGTCTTTACTGTCAGTTTAGATCGATTTAATGCATCCTTGCCAAATAAAGTATTAATTTCTTTAAGAAAAATAATCTTACTGCCCACAAACTTTTTAACAGCAGTGTTCAGAAACCTAATAAAAAATTATATATAAATATATTGAAAATAATACAGATCAGGGATACAAATAAAAATGTTTTAATCAGTGCAATCCAAAATTATCATTATAAAAACAGCTATTTGTTATAAATGTATTGATACAGTAGCAGTAATGATTGTAATAATTATAAAGTTGTGGTGCAGAGGAATGGTAATAGTGCAAAGTAGTGTTCATGTTATTATCAGTTTGTCTCAGTGCAACAGATTTGCATTGAGGACCAATGCCTTGATGCCTACTTCCTATTATGCCTATTATTATACAAACAGTTTTAAACATACAGACTTTATACTGAGAGACTACATTGAATATTTCTACTTTCAAATTTGAATGCGTCAAACTGGAGAGAGAGGGAAAAAAAACATCAAATGTGATTTTGTTACATCAATGTTACATCATCTGAAACATACACCTTCCTTTATACATACATTTAAACTTAAAATCCTGACATTGAAAGAAGAAGCTGATGTCAATGTTATTTGTTATCTACCCAAATCCACTTTCCCCTGTCAAACTGCCAATGTTCCTGTTTAGACAACAATACAAAAGACACATGAAGTAGCTGAAGTGAATAATAGATTAGACAGTTACTGGCAACTAAACTTGTATGGTGGGAGGGGAGCTAACAATGCATACAAAAAACAAACTGTTGGAAACTTAACATAATAACAGTCACAGCACATCCTGAATTAAATTAAGACACAGTACAAAGAGCACAAAAAAGGTCTTGTCCTGCTGTCAGGTGGCCAAATGTCCAGCCACATGTGACATTTGAAACGGGATCGGAGGTGAAAAGAAAGGTCAAAAACCTCTTATGATCCTGGACTTTGATCAATGTTTGCATGAGCAGTCTCAGAGCAGATCTGGAACCAGCTTTGAAACACTGCAGTGAGAGTGAAAGAGCTGGGATACCGATTCTGTATCAGGATCTATCCCTAAACATATCAAAGAGCCAAGCAAGCAAACAAGTACTAAAAAGCATCTCAGTTCCTGGCAGAAAACACATTTCTGTTTAGAGAAATTCTTTAAACCTCGATCTGAAGCGAATACTCGTATACATCTACGTTGCTCCTGGCAAAAACTCTCTGTGTTGGTGGAGCGGTAATGAGTCAGAGCGCACAGGAAAAGGCTTCGGAGCTGTTCTCCTGCATACGCACGCTCAAAAGCCAAATCGATATTGCTTTAAAACAACCCCTTAAGCTGGATGACTGAGCAGCCAGTGGGAGGCGGCCTTTAACCCTGCCAAATAAAAATACAGGGAAGAAACTTTTGTACTTGGTCTTTGCCATCTCTAACTGTTCTCGCATCTCTCAATCTACCCACTTTGCTGGCTTTCTTCCTCCAGGTCTCTCATTGCACCTCTCCTTGTGGAATAGGGCTGCCCTTTCTCCTCTTGCTGGTTACACAATGATCTCCAGAAAGCCTCGTCCCTGAGGGGCGGCAGATTTAGCATGCACTGTAGACTCCATGTAACCCAAGCCTGGAGCCGCCAATGAAATAGAGGCAGAACACAAGCATACACTGAGCTCCCGGGGAAGGCTTTGCTTTATTTCAATAATAAAACTCTCAATATATTCTTAGGTGAGAAATCTGATGGTCACGCCTTTGAATTTTTCTTTGACCCTTGTTTCAAAAGGATCTTTTCAGACCTACTAATATCGTTTTTCCTTTAGACTTTGAGGAAGGAGTGCACATACACAGACATACGCACACTTACCATGGTCACTTTCTGTCCCTGACCGGCCCCAATATCTCCGCCGTCGTTCTGGACTGTGTGTGTGCCTCTCAATAACAGCAGCAATGAATCGAGTGTTACTAACTGCAGAGAGAGTGAGAAACAGAGCCAAATGGTCATATAACAATAACACACTCGGGTCTCCAGCTGGCCAGCATGGTGTAAGAATACAGGAAATTTGAAAGGCAATAACACACTTGTAGATACTTCTCATATAAAAGGTTATACTGGGGATGAACTCGGTAAACAATGAGGAAAAATTCAAAACGATGTCTTCCAAAAGACTTCCAAAGTACCATATCATATGTGTATGCTAATTCCATAATCTAAACAATAATCTAAACGGCTAAGTAAGGTT